CTTTCTCGCATTTTGTCTCACCTTCCGGTATGGTGGCGATGACGCAGGAAGCCAGGCCGCCCAGGATCAGAGATAGGACAGTGGAATATCGACGACCAATCTTCTCCAAAAGCATTATGGTGAGCAGGTCCGCTGGTACCTCCACCAGGCCGCCCAGGGAGAAGGACACGAACGTGTTATTGCCGATGTTCTGAGTGTTCCTCATGTGGCCGTCGTAAGCAAGAGCGCACACCATCCTGCCAAGAGGTGAGGGAACATGCAGTGATAAAGCTTAGCAGGTGAGGAAATCCACCATCCTGGGTAAAGAAAATGGTGCAGACATTTGCTGGTGCAGGAGCTCAGGAAGATCATAACTCCTTGCAAAAGGAAATCATATTATGTATATCGGAAATGTTATAAAACGCTTCATATTACTTATCAATAAACAGGAAGAAAATATTTGGTTACAAATAACTTTAGAATAATATGAATTGTCAAGTACCATTTTTTAATTGGTTCAATATCTCTCTGGAAATGAGCAGGGATCGCCTTTGAAACCCTATTACTAACATATCGAGTAACCTAACCTAACCTGACCTAGCATATCCCAAGCTAGATTTGATTAAAGTTCGTGAAATTTATGCTTACTCACCTAAATTCAACCTAATTTAAGACAATTTCTACCCAATATACCCAAAATGTTTTGTTACATAGCTCAGCCAAAGACCATTTTAGCCAATTTTTCACATATTCCAACCTACCCTACATAGCCTTACCTATCCCTGACCCAGCAGATTTGATTAAAGTTGGGGAAATTTAAGCTATCGCCACCAAATTGGAGACAATTTCCACCAAATATGCCTAAATGTTGTGTATCATAGCACAGCCAAAACCCATTTTACCCACATTTTCACCCATTCCATCTAAACCTGGACCCAACCTCTGATGCGACATATACTCAGAGAAGGGATGTTTTTTGGATATGAACGTAAACGCCCGTGCCTTACCTGCAAGAGTCTTGGAGCTTTGTTGAACATTTTATCTATTTTTCTTCGAAAACTGAAGTTTTGGATATGAACCTATCCGCACTGTGCCTAACCTGCTAGGTTCTTTGTTGAACATTGTAACCATATTCATAGAAAAGTGATGTTTTGGATATGGACCTAACAGCCCCTCTCCTTTAAAACTTGGAACTGTGTTCAATATTGTAGATATAGTGTTGGGTATGTGTTTTGTTTTTACACATCAACCCAACCGTCCTGGACCTAACCTCCCTTCATCTAACTTCAAATTTATCGTAAATATGGAAGGAACGTGTTGTTTGTGCATCAACCCAACCGTCATTGACCTAACCTCCATTTATCAAACTTCAAATTTATCATAAATATGGGATGACCGTGTTATTTGTGCATCAACCCAGCCGTCCTGGGCCTAACCTCCCTTTATCTAACTTCAAATTTATTGTATTTATGGGAAGAAGGTGTTGTTTATGCATCAACCCAACCGCCCTGGACCTAACCTCTGATACACGAATCATGGTTCAATATTGTATCATACTCGTAGCATTTTGTTTTCACATAATTCAACCATCCTCAACCTAACCTCTATTACCTGGGGGAGGGAGGTTAATGGAAAATATGATAATAATGGGAATTTTCTCTACATCAGTTCAACTTAACCATCCTTAACCTAACCTTAGTTAGAAAGGGATATAACTCACCAAAATTATTTAATTACCATTTACCCAATTTTCCTTATCCTAACCTATAACTAGAGGGTTTAGACCCCCTTTACCTCGAAATTATAGTATAAGGTTAAATTAGGGAATGTTAGGTTTATATGTGAAAATATATTCCTACCTTAAATTTATAGTATAATTGGCCTCATTTATACTACTCCTAGTTACTCACCCGTGGCTGACATGCCTTGAGTTCAAGCCCTCTGGGGAGTGTCTACCTTACCAGCAGACAGCAAGAGAGTGTCTACCTTACCAGCAGACAGCAGTAGAGAGTCTACCTTACCAGCAGAAAGCAGGAGATTGTATATTTTACCAACAGACAGCTAGAGGGTGTCTACCTTACCAGCAGACAGCTGTAAAGTATCTACCTTACCAGCAGACAGCAGGAGAGTGTCTTCCTTACCAGCAGACAGCAAGAGAGTGTCTACCTTACCAGCAGACAGCAGTAGAGAGTCTACCTTACCAGCAGAAAGCAGGAGATTGTCTATTTTACCAACAGACAGCTAGAGAGTGTCTACCTTACCAGCAGACAGCTGAAGAGTGTCTACCTTACAAGCAGACAGCTAGAGAGAGTGTCTACCTTACCAGAAGACAGCTGGAGAGTGTCTACCTTACCAGAAGACAGCTGGAGAGTGTCTTCCTTACCAGCAGACAGCTATAGAGTGTCTTCCTTACCAGCAGACAGCAGGAGAGTGTCTTGCTTACCAGCAGACAGCAGGAGAGTGTCTTCCTTACCAGCAGATGCAGAGGATGACAAGGCGCTGCCTTAGGACCGGTGTCTTGAGCAGGTCTATTGTGTTGGCCTCTCCCTCCTTGGTCTGCTGAGACGCCCCGTACACCTGCACACAAGGCAATTGACCCGGTTACAGTAGATAAAGAAATTAGTTGACATGAGTATTGGAATAATCTCCAAGAGAAATATAAACAGATTTAAAGGGAAAATGATCGAATTATTAATTTAATTGTTGATAACGGTATTGAACACAAAGTCATTCGAATTTTGGAAAATGTTTGGAATGGTTAAAATTATAACATTTCCTTTGGAAGCGAATAACAATGACGCATCTGTATGGTGTGGAAGTATTTGCATATTTTTAAACGAAAATTTAAAATATCTGATGGGTAATGGTGTTTTATTAGCTAATGTTAACATTCTTGGTTAGAAACATACACTCTATAATGCCGAACATGATCGAAACGGTAAAAAAAAATTAGGTAAGTGATCATTTGGGAACTGGAGAGAAAAGTCCTCTCATCAATCCCAACAAGAAATGCCTAAACTGCTCTAACATTTATCTACTTACGTTGAAATCTTCAATAAATTCAGGAGAAAGTGTTTTCTTGTTCAGTTTGGCTACTCGTTGTAGGATCTTTAGGGTGTCCTTAATTCTTCCTTGGTTGATGAGCCATCTAGCTGACTCCGGTAACAACCTGAAAACTTTCATAGTTCACTAAGTGTATAATTAAGGTAGAAAACGCCTATATGTTTCATAAATAATACATTTTCTTGTTTTGTTTACATAGTATTCCCTTTCTATGAGTGGATATATATAACAGACCATTCTGTTATGTGCAATTAACTGCATATATATTAAATCAGCAATTTACAGCTGGAAATTATGAAAGAAAACTGAAAAATCAGTCGGGAATTCATAAGAGATTTAAACAATCCCCAAACAGTGATAGATATGTCTATTAATGTACTGTAGGTGTAGACCAAACCACAAACTAGAAAGTGAGGGGACAACGACTTTTCGGTCCGTGTTAGACCATTCTCAAGTCGATTGTGTCTTAAAAAATTCGTCGTCGTCCCTTCACGTTCTAGTGTGTGGTTTGGTCAACAAATCTCAGTCATGTTATTGTGACTCCTCGTCAGAATACTGTAGGTATAGCTAAATTTCAACACAATATATATATATATATATATATATATATATATATATATATATATATATATATATATATATATATATATATATATATATGTCGTACCTAGTAGCCAGAATGCACTTCTCGGCCTACTATGCAAGGTCCAATTTGCCTAATAAGCCAAGTTTTCATGAATTAATTGTTTTTCGACTACCTAACCAACCTAACCTAACCTAACCTAACTTTTTCGGCTACCTAACCTAACCTAACCTAACCTATAAAGATAGGTTATGTTAGGTTAGGTAGGGTTGGTTAGGTTCGGTCATATATCTACGTTAATTTTGACTCCAATAAAAAAAAATTGACCTCATACATAATGAAATAGGTAGCTTTAGCATTTCATAAGAAAAAAAATGAGAGAAAATATATTCATTCAGGAAAACTAGGCTTATTAGGCAAATCGGGCCTTGCATAGTAGGCTGAGAAGTGCGTTCTGGCTACTAGGTAGACATATATATATATATATATATATATATATATATATATATATATATATATATATATATGTCGTACCTAATAGCCAGAACGCACTTCTCAGCCTACTATTCAAGGCCCGATTTGCCTAATAAGCCAAGTTTTCATGAATTAATGTTTTTTCGTCTACCTAACCTACCTAACCTAACCTAACCTAGCTTTTTTTGGCTACCTAACCTAACCTTACATATAAATATAGGTTAGGTTAGGTTAGGTAGGGTTGGTTAGGTTCGGTCATATATCTACGTTAATTTTAACTCCAATAAAAAAAAATTGACCTCATACATAGAGAAAAGGGTTGCTTTATCATTTCATAAGAAAAAAATTATAGTAAATATATTAATTCAGGAAAACTTGGCATATTAGGCAAATCGGGCCTTGAATAGTAGGCTGAGAAGTGAGTTCTGGCTACTAGGTACGACATATATATATATATATATATATATATATATATATATATATATATATATATATATATATATATATATATATATATATATATATATATATATATATATATGGAATTAAAGTAGGCAAAACTGGTGAGTGAGCAAAACTGAAAGAAATAAAACCCTAATTAAACCAAACAAACTATATTAAACTTTCCTGAAAGCATTAAACTTTAATTAAACAAAAATACTAGCAAACATATACACATAATAATACACTGATGTTGAAATATGCACGAGTGACAATTAGGCTAAAACAATGTGATCAACTCCGGTGTATAATGGCCAGGCACTGAACCTCAAATATTTGCATAAAAACGCAAAACAATGTTTAAGAGTCAGCTCATGCTTATTTTCATTTATAATTTAACATACTATATGACATATGATCACAAACCGGTATGCTGAACTCCTTGTTAATTTTAAAAATGATAATTACCTTTACTAATTCTGTGCAAAATGTATTCGAAATATGGCAACGTTCCCCAAACACATAAATTCACATGGAGACTTAAATGACGTTGGGGACTCATCTGATGTCCCCGTCATATTCGTGACCATAAAATATTATGGTCATGAATCGCTCACTTGTTGATGGTCTGCACAAGTGTCTATTACAGTGTTTGTGTGGCTGGCCCTCCCGGCCCTTGCTAAGGCCAATGAGAACGCCAGAAAAAAGAATATCTTAAACAAGCACACTACGGAATGCAATGTTGGTATGGTGCATAAACGTTTATAATATATCATGTTTGTTATATTATAAACGTTTAAACGTTAGGTATGTTATAATATATCATGTTTGATATTTTATAACATAACATCTGAATGAGCATTCATTTAGGCCCTTTAACTGACGTTTGATTCATCCCACAGCGCCAGTTCTGCTTACCAAAAATGACCCACTAGATACTCATCATGGTATGTTATCATATAACATGTTTGATATATTATAACATACACAAAAGTTACAAAGGAATACCGCAATAAATTTTCTTATCATTTGACGAGTTTTTTCACCGTCAGTGTTGTAACTAAGGACGTTACTCAACAATTTAGTAAAATGGCAAACAATAAGAGATGTCACCGTATCAGAGCAGAGAGTGAGTCCTGCATGTAAAAGATACTTTACGGTAACTACTCACAAACGCCACCAGCCTGCGACAATACAAGAAGAGGATGCTGATGAACTAAGAAGCATGAATGATGCCTGTAAGGGCTCATCATGGGAAGATGATCCTCATACACTGTAAGTCGGGACTGATATGTCCTATGCACTCACCATATGAAAATGATGCTGATGAGCTGTGGAGCGTGGATAATGACAGCGAAGGTGGACCAGTCAGCGATCGCCAGGGCCAGCCAGGGGATAGCAGCCATTGAAAGTGTTAGGAAGAAGGCCACTGGAATGTGACTTACTACTGTCCGGTACTCGCTGGAGACGTACTCCAGTACTGTGGAATTTTGTTTATATCAGTTCATTGATATTTATATTTTTCTGATACTCGAAACATAAATAAAATCATCATCAAATTAAAATTCTTTAATGCAAGCGATGAGTCACAATAACGTAGCTGAAGTATGTTGACCAGACCACATACTAGAAGGTGAAGGGACGACGACGTTTCGGTCCGTCCTGGACCATTCTCAAGTCGACTTGAGAATGGTTCAGGACGGACCGAAACGTCATCGTCCCTTCACCTTCTAGTGTGTGGTATGGTCAACAAAATTCTTTATTGAATGTGCACGATGTCTAAAGCCTATTACAATAATATAATATAATGCAAATATAATATGTATTGTAATACATATTACAATACATATTAGTCTGAAAAAACATAGAAAAAAGTAGGTAGGTAAATGCCATAATAATTTCTTGTTTTCCTACATTATTTTAAAAAGTCGACACCAGCAATCAACAACCAATTAATGCACAACTATATTCTACCCACTTCAAGACTCCGCACCAATATAGAAGCATTAAGAAATATGGGCCAATAGGCCCTTTGCAGTTACTTCCATTCTTCCCTTTAACTTACAAAATATTATACCCATTGTTTCGTGTTCTGTCTTGGGTTGAAAGTTTGTTTTCACCTCATCCAAAACTGTTGTAACATATCACCTCACCCAAATGCTGGTATAAAATGGAAGCTGTTTAAACTCTGTTCAGTTATAGTTGTGTGCGTGTAAACTAAAGTCTTTGAAAATGTAATAAGTTTTACGAACGCGTTCAAGTGTCGCGACTAGACTAGAAATAAAAATGAATTTTGGAGAATTGTTTTTTCAGTTACCATCAACAGTGAAAAGAAATATAAGAAACATAGAGAAAATTCGTGTTAGAATTATTAATCTTACTTTTTCGGTCATATTTAATAATATATGTCTACAGGAAAGACTGCTACCAATATATATATATATATATATATATATATATATATATATATATATATATATATATATATATATATATATATATATATATACATATACATATATATATATATATATATATATATATATATATATATATATATATATATATATATATATATATATATATATATATATATATATATATATATATATATATATATATATATATATATATATATATATATATATATATATATATATATGTGTGTGTGTAAGTTTTTTGGTGTCTGATGCAGACTCAACATTTGAAATGATTATAGTGAAAAGTATTACAATTCTGAGCGTCGATGCTGAAGCAGACAATGTGTGTACCTTGAACAGTGACAATCCTCGTCTTGTATGTGTTTGGGAATTTAACTTAACACTTACTCAAAGAGAATACATTAACTCCGGGGTTCCAGTACTCACAAAGAACGAAGGTGACCATAAACTGGGTGTCGAAAGTCATACCAACGATGAACCTCGAGACGGCGAAAGTGACAAAGGAGGTGCAGAATGCGGAGATGACGCCAGCCACTCCCCCAAGAACGTTAGTGAAAACAATAATGGGCAGTCTACCCCACTTGTCGGCCGCCCATCCGAAGAAGGGCGTGATCAGGAGCGACCCCAAAAAGAACACTGACTGGCAGACTGTTGGTCGCCAGTCATCATCACACACCCAGTCCAGCTACCAATACAATTTTAAAATATTTTTATTCCATAAAACATATAAAACATTCAATCAGATTTAATTACTAATTAATGTTATCTTTTACATTCAAGTCACACAGAGATTAAGATGAAATGATTAGAAAAATGAAACCTAGATTATATATATTCAACAAGAAAACCAAATGAACTGAGAAAGCTAATTTAGTATTAACTCTAAGTATTTAACAAACTTTTAATGGTAACTTGTAACATTGTAAAAGTGAAGATTTTATTCCTGAAGTCGGTGTTTGCATTTCAAGTAAAAACAAAGGTTATGCCAGAGGAACACGGTACCTGAGAGGTGATGGTTGGATAATAGAGGGAGTAGTCATAGGTCCAGCCATTAGTGCAGCTGGTGGTGGGCCAGCTGGAATTAGGCCAGCTGCTGTTGTTCATCACAATCTGTGAATGTTGGAAATAGTTTTAAGTGGTTAACTTGATCGAATGAAAAATAAAATACAACCGCTAGATATTTTCAACGAATATATCATTAGTTTTTTCCCAGTTTTTAATGCCTAAATAAAAGTCTTTGCAACCTGTACAATAACCTCAGCTGCTTATACAAGGATCGCGTCACTGTCTATACAAAGATCTCTTCTGACCATACAATACTTTCATGCTATTTAGCTTTTTGCCTCCAACCTCTGCCTATGTGTGTGTGTGTGTATGTGTGTGTGTGTGTGTGTGTGTGTGTGTGTGTGTGTGTGTGTGTGTGTGTGTGTGTGTGTGTGTGTGTGTGTGTGTGTGTGTGTGTGTGTGTGTGTGTGTGTGTGTGTGTGTGCGTGTGCGTGTGTGTGTGCGTGTGTGTGTGTGTTTGTGCGCGTGAACGCGACTATTTATGTACATGTTTCCGTGTTTCTGTGTTGACTAGAGAGAGGAGTTAAATCCCGGGTTAAGTGCCATACCTCACTGAAGTCCACATCGTACATAACACACTGGAGATATTTTCCAGTCGTTTCGTCCCTAGGAATAGTTAGCTCCTTCACCTCGTCCTGGGTCAGGTTGAGGTCAATGGTCAGGTTGAGATCAAGATCCGCTGGGGTTCGACACCAGTGAGGTGGGGTCAAGGTCATGAAGATCTGGCCGCAGTACACAAAGGTGAAGAATAAGCAGGTGATGCATTCAACTGCAAACAAGATCTGGGAAATGGAAAATTGGATGTTGAAAATAACTCTACGGATAATCAAACTCACGTTTCAGACATCATAGGTCACGTTGGTTGTCGCAATAGAAACCAATCCTACTTAAAAAGAGCATTGGGGTCGATCACGCAAATCCCTATGTCACTCTTTTCAGAATAACCAATAGTTCTGCCGCTAAATGGGCTTCAGGTACCTATTTACTCCCTGGATATCAAATTATTAACAATATTTGTTTTAATGAGGCTAGCCCTGATCATCTGGCCTCCAACTTCACACAAATAAACAGATATTCTTCCTAAATATAGATTACTGCCGATTCAACCCATCCTCCTGGTTAGATAGCAGAATTTGGTACTATTCACTAGAGTCTAGAGAAAGAAGCTAGAAAACCTATTTTAATATTCCTAGGCCTAAGACAGCACATATATATGTACTATATTAGGCCTCAGATAGCGTACGTTAAACCTTGGATTATTAGCTCAGGTTTTATTAGTAACATAAAAAAAACAACTTTTTTCTTCAAATTCAATAGTACCAAATTCTATTTCATAATTGCCCATTACGTAAGTATATATACGAACGTCTACTTCGTTACTATTAGTACTATCATAGCCGGAGGATGAACTGGCTGAATTGGAGAAGCAAGTTGAAAAATAATGCATGAAAATGAACCAGAAAGTATAAGAGTAACGCGGAAAGGAGTTACCGTGAAATATTATTTAATATTTCACGTTTTAGGTGAAATGTTAAAGTTTGTTTGACATGTTTACGTGAGCTGATTCATCATAGTCAAGTTTGTTTGACATGTTTACGTGAGCTGATTCATCATAGTCAAGTTTGTTTGACGTGTTTACGTGAGCTGATTCATCATAGTCAAGTTTGTTTGATACGTTTACGTGAGCTGATTCATCATAGTGAAGTTTGTGGAGAAGGCAGGAAGGATTATATTGTGAAACAGATCAAACTACAGGATGATTTGTCCCTAAAATGACACAAATGATTGTGGTTGTCTGCAAGTTCGAACATACTACAATAGCTTACTGACCAACTAGCAAGTACAACTAGTAGGTACACATTAGTCATAAACGTAGTACAACAAGAAATTAAATGGTATATTTACCGAAAACAGGAGTGCATTTGTTGGTGTGTGTGTGTGTGTGTGTGTGTGTGTGTGTGTGTGTGTGTGTGTGTGTGTGTGTGTGTGTGTGTGTGTGTGTGTGTACTCACTCAATTGTACTCACCTAATTGTGCTTGCGGGGGTTGAGCTTTGTCTCTTTGGTCCCACCTCTCAACTGTCAATCAACTAGAGTACAGATTCCTGAGCATACTGGGCTCTATCATATCTACATTTGAAACTGTGTATGAAATTAGCCTCCACCACATCACTTCCTAGTGCATTCCATTTATTAACTACTCTGACTCTGAAAAAATTCTTTCTAACGTCTCTGTGGCTCACCTCGGTACTAAGTTTCCACCTGTGTCCCCTTGTTCGTGTCCCCTTGTTCGTGTCCCACCCTTGCTGAAGAGTTTGTCTTTGTCCACCCTGTTAATTCCCCTGAGAATTTTGTAGGTGGTTATCATGTCTCCCCTTACTCTTCTGGTTTTCCAGGGACGTGAGGTTAAGCTCATTTAGCCTTTCCTCGTAGCTCATTTCTCTCAGTTCCGGGACGAGCCTGGTGGCATACCGCTGAATCTTCTCTAACTTTGCCTTGTGTTTAACTAGGAATGGACTCCAGGCTGGAGCTGCTTATTCCAGGATTGCTCTGACATAAGTGGTATACAGGGTCCTGAACTATTCCTTACACAAGTTTCTAAAGGCAGTTCTTATGTTGGCCAGTCTAGCATATGCCGCTGATAATATCCTTTTGATATGGGCCTCTGGGGACAGGTTCGATGTGATATCAACCCCCAGATCTTTCTCTCTATTTGACTCTTGCAGGATTTCACCTCCCAGATGGTACCTTGTGTTCAGCCTCCTGCTCCCTTCGCCTAATTTCATTACCTTACACTTTCCTGACTTGAACTTTTGCAGCCATTTTCTAGACCATACCTCAAGTTTGTCCAGGTCATCCTGTAGTCTCTGTCTGTCATCATCCGTCTTGATTCTTCTCATAATTTTTGCATCATCAGGAAACATTGAGAGGAACGAGTCTATACCCTCTGGAAGATCGTTTACTTATATTAGAAACCGGATGGGGCCAAGTACTGAGCCCTGTGAGACTCCGGTGGTGACATCGCGCCACTCTGATGTTTCCTCCCTCACCGTTACTCGCAGTTTCCTGTTGCTTAGATATTCCCTTATCCACTGGAGCACCTTCCCTTTTACTCCTGCCTGTTGCTCCAAATTTTTTAACAGCCTTTTATGGGGTACTGTGTCAAAGGCTTTCTGGCAGTCCAGGAAAATGCAGTCGACCCACCCTTCTCTTTCCTGTCAAATTTTTGTTGCCTGGTCATAGAATTCTATTAAACCTGTGAGGCACGATTTACCATCTCTGAACCCATGTTGGTGGTGTGTTACAAAGATATTTCCCTCCAGATGCTCTACGAGCCTTTATCTCACGATCTTCTCTGGTGTGTGTGCGTGTGTGTGTGTGTACTCACCTAGTTGTTCTTGCGGGGGTTGAACTCTGGCTCTTTGGTCCCGCCTCTCAACTGTCAATCAACTGGTGAACAGATTCCTGAGCCTACTGGGGTCCATCATATCTACATTTAAACTATGTAGGGAGTCAGCCTCCACCACATCACTGCCTAATGCATTCCATAAGTTAACTTCCCTGTCACAGAAAAAGTTCTTTCTAACATCCCTGAGGCTCATTTGGGCACTGATTTTCCACCTGTGCCCCCCTCGATCGCGAACCTCCCGTGTTTAAAAGGGTTATCCTTATCTACATCGTCAATTCCTCTGAGAATTTTGTAGGTAGTGAAATGTCAGTACACTGTGACCGCTCATTCCTACCGGGGGCCTCGAAACCGATTTCCCTTATGTCGGAGTCGTTCAATGTGAAGTCTCGCTGGTTCATCGTTGCCTCTCATTCTTGTGGGTTCCCTGACATGCTGGCTTGAAAAGTTTTTTATAGCCAGCTCCAACAGATTATTGGCTCCATGATCCTCACCCCCATGTGAGGTGAGGAAGCATGGTCTCACAGGCTATCCTTCCGAGATTGAAGTCCCCCATAATGAGCAGATGGGATCGATTTCTCCAGGCATCAGAGGCCGCCTTCTCAATTATATTGTTAACTGCCGTGTTATATTATTAACTTCCTCATAGTTCATTCCTTTCAGTTCGGGCACGAGTCTGGTGGCAAACCGCTGAACCTTCTTCAATTTAGTTTTATGCTTGACGAGATATAGACTCTATGCTGGAGCTGTATACTTCAAGATTGGTCTGACATACGTGGTATGTTAGTGTGTGTGAACACGTATGTCATATACGTGTGTGTGTGTGTGTGAGTAGGTTGTCATTGCTGTAAACTGTCCTCAGGTCAGGCGCGTTATAGCATCGGCCGTCTCCCAAAAAACATTCATTAATAATAACGTACCGTGTGATAAAAAATAGTTTTGTTCTCTATTATGAAAGTAAACATTAATATATATTCAACAAATTGCAATGGTGCAACATCGAGAATAGGAACTCTAAAATGAACAAATATCTAGAGCTGAAGAGAAGCTCTATTACAAGAAATTTCACATAATATGAGATAAATTATGCTTCCAAAAAGCGCATAATTAAAAATAAAACGCATAAAGCAGTGTGAAAGGATTCTAATACCCAATAAAATTAATTAAATATTCAACATATCCATATTTTTAACAATTAATAATAATAACAATGTGACAGACAAGGCAGAGAGAACAGATCTACTGACCATCTGGTAGGGGCCGAACCCTCCGACGAACTCGAAAACGGAATCGAAATTGGTGATAGACATCTTCCCTTCCTCGGCCTCAACGGGGTGGAACAAGTCTCTCGATTCTGTTAGAAAGGTATTTAAACACAGTTATATAATAATAAACATAGGTAAATAAACAAGTAACGATATATATATATATATATATATATAATGTCGTACCTAGTAGCCAGAACGCACTTCTCGGCCTACTATGCAAGGCCCCTGAATTAATATATTTTCTCTATTTTTTTTCTTATGAAATGATAAAGCTACCCATTTCATTATGTAAGAGGTCAATTTTTTTTATTGGAGTTAAAATTAACGTAGATATATGACTGAACCTAACCAAGCCTACCTAACCTAACCTAACCTATCTTTATAGGTTAGGTTAGGTTAGGTAGCCGAAAATGTTAGGTTAGGTTAGGTTAGGTAGGTTAGGTAGTCGAGAAACAATTAATTCATGAAAATTTGGCTTATTAAGCAAATCGGGCCTTGCATAGTAGGCTCAGAAGTGCGTTCTGGCTACTAGGTACGACATATATATATATATATATATATATATATATATATATATATATATATATATATAAATATTTATATAAATATATATATATATATATATATATATATATATATATATATATATATATATATATATAATATATATATATATATATATATATATATATATATATATATATATATATATATATATATATATATATATATATATATGTCGTATCTGTGTTCAGGTCTGTACAATCTACTCGTCTCACTTCCCCATATATTACCTAACCCTTCCATTGCCTAACCTGGTACCCTTCCGTAGTTTTCTTTCTCACATATTTGTCATTCTAAGTTAATTCTAATTTCTTTATGAACACCGTTCCTCGACATGCTCCCGTGGTAATACTGGTGTCTCGAACCCGTCCTCTTACAAAGTATGTCCCTTTTCACTCGTTTGGGCTAGAGACAAAAGGCCGTAATATGAAAATGAAAAATAATTGGAAACATATTTGGGATTTTTTTTCCAAAACAACAAGTTAAAGGCCCTCTGGTAGATTAGCGGCGCAGTAAGTTCTCCTAAGGTTTCAAAACGTCATGAAAAACGTTATTGAAAGTTTCCTCTCCTAGCCTAACAGCCTAAGCCATAGGACCCTAAATAGAAAACGAGAGGTTGCATCACTTTCGCGAGTCGATTCTATTTTAAATACGTTTTTTAGTTGACATGGACTTGAAACCCACCATATACTGCAAGTATATTGACGACATTTTTATGCAGATACTTAATGTCAGACGTCTGCAGCAACTGAAGGAGGCATTCGAACAGAACTCAGTGTTAAGTTTCACTTACGAGATGGAGAATGATGGGAAGCTGTCCTTTCTAGAGGTAACAGTCACGGAAAGGAACGAAGGCCTCCACACTGCAGTCTACACTATGGAAACAAACATATAAATGTGCCTCAATGCCAATAGTGACTGCCCAGACATGTACAAGAGGAGTGTTGTCAATGCTTACGTCGACCGTGCTCTCAGCCACAGCTCAGGATGGAAACAAGTCGATGAAGAACTCTGTAGGGTAAGGCAGGTCCTAGTCAACAACGGCTTCTCTAACGGTTATGTTGAAGACGTCATGAAAAGAAAGGTGAATCGCCATGCAACTTCTGAAGAGTTAACTAGCACAACACTTCTACCCCCTATTAGACTGTTTTACTGGAACTTCTTTTCGACGGATCATAAAATAAAGGAAAGTGTCCTGAAAGACATTATTAATTGGAACGTTATCCCTACAAACAAAAATCAGGAAATACAAGTGACAATTTACTACAAAAAACAAAACAAAAAAACAGCCAAACTACTCATGAAAAACTCCCCAGATACCAAACCGAACGTCTTGAAGAAAATCAACGTCGTCTATGCCATCACATGCCCACTTGGGGACTGTAAGCCCTAATGAACTCATTATATAGGCAAAACAACAACGTCTCTCTCTAGCGATTAACAATGCACAAACAACAACGCTCCATCAAGGAACATACAATCTCTTCTCACAACCAGACCATCACCAGAGAAATCTTAGCAAGCAACACAGAAATCATCGATAGATAGAGCGATAGCAGGACACTCGACATCAGTCAACACCAGCAATCAAGAGCCAATTAATGCATAACTATATTCTACCCACTTCAAGACCCCAAACCAACATAGAAGCAGCAAGAGAAAGTATGGGCCAATAGGCGTTCTGCAGTTAATTTCATTCTTATGTTTTCATACCCAATTCGTCCAAAACATTTGTGTCATATCACCTCACCCAAAACACATAATCGTGATATTTGTTATGTGCAAACAATTTTTTGAAAATGTAAGAAGCCCTTGCGAATCGCTTTGAGGCGTCAGACCAAAAATAAAAGTGTTACAAATTAATTTTGGCGAGTTAATTTTCTAATTACTCTCGACAGTGAAGAAAAACTTTAGGAACATTGAGAAGATTAGTGTTAGAATTTTTAATCATACCCTTTCATTGATATTCAACATAATATATTTACAAGAAAGTCTGCTACCAAAATATACTAATACATATTTGTATGTACGTAATATAAATCTTTAAATAATCTTGTTTTCCTCAAATAAGAGTTATATAATAATGGTAAAAAATTGTTATATCACTTCAAACACTGTATCCAAGAGAAAGATGAATAACCTGTTTCTTGCAAAGTTGTAAATGAATAGTAAATTAATTCATATACAACTTTTCTTTTCCATCAAATTAACCCAACCTCAACAATAAAGTATTCAAAAACAGATATTAAGAGTTAAGAAACTCTCTCTTCTTATAGCGAAGATAGTAGAGACTTGTAAGATGTTATTGCGGCATTTGATCACCTTGAGAGTACGATCAACTAGTGTCCATTGGTCAAGGTGATAACCGTGAATGTTGGTAACGCAATTCAACTCCTTCAGTTCATTGTCAAGAGTTGACTAAATACGATCATCGTATGTATGATTCTCTCTACTTACATCGCGAACTAGTTGTATAAAACATACTTTAATATGTATTTATTTATATTCTATGTGTTGGCTGTTATTATATATATAATTACTAGGGTGGAAACTCGGCGCTACCTGTCTCTCGTCTGTTTATCTATCTATCCAAACATCTATCTATCTATATTTCTATCTATCCATCCGTCTATTTATCCATCTATCCCAGCACCAATCTATCGCACTGTCCATCCATCTATCCATCCATCCATCTATCCATCCATCCATCTTTCCATTCATCCATCTATCCATCCATCCATCAATCCATATACATATCCATCTACTTACTCATCTCTCTATCATCTATCCATCAACCTATCCCTCTATGTACGCATCTATCTATTTATTCAACAATGTACTCATCTACCTATCACTCTGTCTAATCGATGGATAGACATATGAGTTGATATACATCATCTGATGGATATCCATCTATGGATGGGTTGATTGATATCTTCCAATCTATCCCTCTATATATCCCTCCACTCATCCTTCCACCTATCTATCCATCTATTGTCGGTATGTTTCTGTCTGCTTGTCTTTGTCTCTTTATCTCTGTTTGCCTCGGTCTGTCTGTCTCTCTATCTGCCTGTACCTCTTTCTTTCTCTAATAAAATATTTTATTGTGAAATGTGTAGGTGGTTGACATTGAGAGAAGCTCAGTAGTGTGAAATACTAAAAACAGAATAGTTACCCCTTACTATTTGAGAAACCTTTGACCCTGTGAAAGAATCGTCTGTTTTATGCGAATACGGCAAATTATTAATAGCAGGAAATTTATTTTCATTTTCTCGTGATCATAGACTAATGGTACATATTACTTTAACAAACTAAAGATAGTTTTGAAAAGATTGTTATGAAAATATTTAGCGGTGCAGCTGGAGGCCTGTGTATCAAAAATCGTCGTTCGGGTCTGAATGTGACACTGGCACGCTATTCCCGTTTAAATTCTGGTGACCCATGACCAACCTATGTTCATCCCACACCCCAGACCACTCACTCTGCCAATTTGGGTGAGCCAAGTCACTAACATATGACCTCCAACTTTGCACATATAAACAGAAAGACATAATAACATTCTCTAATTTAGTGCAGATACTGTACTGCCAATATTTATATGCGTTTGTTTATGGCTATCTCCTATGAGTGTCAGCACTTGGTTTTAAAGGACTGGACTCTGTGAAATCTTATCTTGTAGGTTCAACCCTTGCGGAGAGATCTTATCTGCGGTTATCTTGCCACAGCGGGTTGGCTGCAGTGTTGCCAGACACAGTAGAGTGCTTGTTATAGTTATTGACCGCATCCGTCAGTGTATATGTATAATATACTATATAGTGTATATACTAAGTATATTTCACATATTTTATGAGAAAACAGGAATAGTATTTTTTTTATAATTAACGTAAAATTAATTCTCGGCCGGCTGTGGCATCTGACACTCTCGGCCGACTGTGGCATCTGACACTCTTGGCCGGCTGTGATATCTGTCACTCTTGGCCGGCTGTGCAGAATCTTAATCCCATGGAGCACGGTAGAGTGCTCCCAAGTCATATTATACCTTGGCTACGAGGCAGTTCAAATGCCACGACTATTCTAAAACATGAATATTCTTATCAACACTTATTCTTTAAACGTTTTTTGTTTATCTGTAGTGATGATACGAGCTCTTGAATCGGAAAGTTAAGTGGGAAAATTTGATGTATTTTTTGAGACGTTCAATCAATAATACCAATTGTTGTAAATCTCAATAGGCTCTGAAGAATTAGGTCAATTTGACATATATTATATTAACACAAATTCTAACTAATATGTTCATAACAATACCTAGCGATTTCGTTACCTAGGATCCCTGCGGCCAGATTCACGAAGTAGTTATGCAAGTACTTACGAACGTGTACATCTTTTCTCAATCTTTGACGGCTTTGGTTACATTTATTATAAAGTTTACAAGCATGAGAACTTGCCAATCAGCAGATGTTATTGTTATAAACAGACTCCTGGTGCTTCGGAGCTCATTAACTGTTTAATAATTGTAAACAAATCCGCCAAAGCTTGAGAAAAGATCTACTTGCTCGTAAGTGCTTGCGTAACTGCTTCGTGAATCTGACCAAGATATTTATGAAGCTATAGGTTATATTAAGAGTACGATTCCAAATATGCATTAGTTACGATAGACTGATACAACACAAACTCCTCAAGAAGCTCCAGTAAGAACCACGTTACAGGCAACAACGGAAGCAACAACGAGCATCTGACGTCACCAGTCAGATGTGGTGACGTCCAAGACCTCCAGAGATAACCTCCTGAACAGTGACAGCTTCACAACCAGTGCACACAAAGAGTCAATATCCGGGTAGTGACAATATTCAGCCAAGGACATGACATCTCAGATACGCTCTCCCACGTGCGATTGGGAGAACTTGGTGCGCTCTCCCCTGATAATTCCTTCCCTCCCTCCCTTCCATCATGTTTCCTTACACCTCATGTGTCTGTTCCCCTGGCAGTTAGTAGGTACCTGGGAGTTAGACAACGAGGTGCGAGTAACATCCTGGGAATAGTCAATCGTAGGTCGTAGGTGTAGACTTCAGGGAAATCTCGATTGACTTAACATGTTCAGTCTTTCCGACAATAGGTTTTAGAGTACCGTATGCAGGTCTCGCAAGATCCCCTCTTCCCAGTGAACCGTATTTAAGAACATAATTAAAAAAACTGCAGAAGGGCTAATGGCCACTCCGATGCAGTTCCTCTTTATATCCTACCAAACTCATTTATTGATAAACAAGTCCACAAGGGCCATGATGAAGGTTCGAACCTACGCACGGGGTGTTCCCAGATACGCCTTAGTCATGAGGACGTCATTTATAGATATATTTGATCAACGGTTAAAGCAATGAAATGATCTTCCATCCATTAAGTTTCTTTGAAATTTGTCTCATTAACCGTTCACCCCATCTCCAAACCAGTATTTACCCAGGTCTCTCCAGAACCTAATCATCCAGGTGAATGGAATCTAAACCCCTCTACTTTATATCCATTGCTTCGTATTCTATTTTGTGTTAATGTGTATATCATTTTCAATCAATTCACCTTCTTACTCTTAAGCTTTCTGGAATGTCTAAATTTAGCTTTTTTATTCACTCTTGATACGACAGGTCGACAGTTCAACGCAAATGATACATTTTTCTTCCAGAAAACTACCTCAACATTTGTAAAGCAACGGTTCCTGTACTTTGCTCGACTGTAATGATCTATTTTATATCAAAGTACAGACCTCACGTGTCTTGTATTTACATTCTATTGGGACCCTTGCAAAGGCTTTGTCTATTTCTGGGGACTTAGTTTGACTTTAGGTTTTCTATTTATGTGTTTCATAAAAGGAAATTATTAAGGAATTCAAAATCCATCCCTTACAACCTACATAGATTTTTAAGGTGTAAGTAAAATATCAAGTTCTTCTCTATTAAATACGGAAAATTTTGTTTAAAATGCTTGTAATTTGTTTGTTATTTATAGTTACTTGATTTAATTGATTTTTCAAAATCGGAGTCTTCTCTCTAGTCTTTGTTTTAGGAGCCTTTGGATTTTTGTTTATTTAGAACCCTTTAGGAGTTTGTTTTGGCCGCCCAGCAATACACACTTCATAATTTCTGTTGACCTTTGAAATCTCTTGACCGTTCTTAATCGTATTATAAATTGTTGTTCCAAGGCAGCCGTCCACTTTTTTAATACGCTTATATGCAGCTTTTACATTTATGATAAACGCTTTAGTCGGCGATGAGTCACAATAACGTGGCTAAATTATGTTGACCAGACCGAAACGTCGCCGTCCCTTCACCTTCTAGTGTGTGGTCTGGTCAACGCTTTAGTCACCTAGTTATCTATTATGGGGTTTTATTTTTCGACTTAATAAATTAAACGGTATGCCGTGTACTTGTGCTCTAATTAAAATTCGTTGAAATTAGTTACTAGTTAAATCTGCATCGAAATCAACTGACATGTCATCCACCTCATGATGGAGGTGGATGACATGTCCACCTCCATGTCATCCGGACGGGATGACCGGATAAATCCGGACCCCTTGCATGTCCCATGGACAGCTCTTTAACGTGTTCAGGTCTGTACGATATGCTCATCTCACTCCCCCATATATTGCCTAACAGACACCTGATTCCCTTCCATAGTATTCTTTCTCACACATTTGTCATTCTAAGTTAAATCTAATTTCTTTATGAACACCGTTCCTCCCGCTTAAGGTAATATACTGGTGTCTCGAACCTGTCCTCTTACAAAATACATCGCTTTTCACTCGTTTGCGCTAGAGACAAAAGGCCGTAATTTGAAAATGAAAAAAAAACGAAAGTAAATTTTGGATTTAATTTTTCCAAAACAACAAGTTAAGGGCCTTCTGGTAGATTAGGGGGTGGGGGGGGGTGGGGGCAGAAAGTTCTCCTAAGGTTTCAAAACGTCATGAAAACCGTTATTGAAAGTTTCCTCTCCTAGCCTAACAGCTTAAGCCAGAGGACCCAAAACAGAAAACGGGACAGTACGTCACTTTCGGGAGTTGATTGTATTTTCAAATACGTCTTTTCTTAGCCTGAGTACACATACGAGCGAAAAGCGAAGTAATTTGTAAGAGGACGGGTTGCCATGTTTGCGAGAACAAGGTTTAAAGTAGTGTTTTTCTGTTGGTTCCATAATGACTAACCTAACCTAATCTAAACTAACCTAACCAACTACCTTAAGAAAGCTGTTGTCAAGCTTTTCTAAAAATGTATGTGCATTACCTGCTTTATTGATTCAGCTTGTTGCACTATGATTAAAGTCATCTCTTATACAAATATAAACATTATACATATTATATTAATATGCCAATTATTTATATATACACATGCACACATACACGCATGTATACATGCATATTCTTCACATGTATATGTCTAATCCTTGAGTATAAGTGTAACCTTGCGTTACGTTTTACGCAATGTATGAAGTAATGCTACATACATTACACTTATGAGTATATAGCAGTATGACAATTACTCAATTACGAAGTTGAGAACGTCTCAGACGACCTCCACAACAACACTGTTCCTTCCCAAAACTCTTCTGTTCCACCACAGAAACCACAACATTTCAACAGAAACTAACGTACCTTTGTCTGGGTGGTATGTTGAAGTATCCTGTGCCAGGCCACCTCATCAGGTCTTGCTCACAACCCAGACAATGAGTGAGGCAGTGTGTCCTTGCCCGGCCAGCGTCACCTGGTGGCTGCTCCACTGCTTGAGTACTCACTGCTACACCCTTTCCTCACCAGGGTCTCCAGCAAGAGACCTTCCTGATAGGTGTTTTACCTTACGCAACAACGCTGCTACTGATTATATTACGTAAGGAGCTGTTCATTATGTAAGCAGCTCTTCTCAGTGATAATAGGTATATCGAGTAAGAGAATGTGAAATGTGTAAGTCCTTTAGAATATATGATGGAAATTGGAATATTTGTTTAAAAGATTAAATGTGTCTTAATAATAATGAATATATTGTTGCTCGGTTATTAGACTTTGTCAATGATAAGAATCTATTGATCTGTGAGATTATTTCCTGCTCTTACAGACGCATGCGCACACCCGCCACGCTCACACAGGCATTTCTTCTACGTCGCGAGAAGTGAGCAAATGGAATGAGCAGAAAGGGAAGTAAGAGAATAATTCCTACACAGTCAAAACCAGTAGCCTGCCAACCAGATCATGAGCTCTTGGGTTGAACATCAAACACTTAAGAACGCGGGGGTCCGAGAGCTGACGCCTGGATTAACAAACTAACAAGATGAAACGTGTTGACCAGACCACGACCTAGAAGGTCGTGGTCTGGTCAACATATATATATATATATATATATATATATATATATATATATATATATATATATATATATATATATATATATATATATATATATATATATATATATATATATATATATTATTAAAAAATAACTTGGATGTGATAGTCATACATTATCAAAATCACTAATAAGGAAAATTGAATTATTTGAGGATATTGCCGCACGCAAGGGATTAAAGGGTCTCTTAGCAGTATGCATTTCCTCTCCTGTGTATATAAAGGTTAAGTGGAGTCATCACTCGCCTTATCAAATTCGCGGTCTCCTTTCCTTCTCACAATATTGCAAGTAATCCTCCTCTACCCAAGGGTCAGTTTGTTTGCCTTGTAATCCTGGAGAGTGGACCAGATCGTTAAAAAATCATCTGTTTTCCCCCTGCTCTCTTGAGACATCCACACTGTTGTCCCCGGCGCTTGCTGGCTTAAAGTGCATCACCAGTACCAGCAGGAGTAGTGATATTAGCACCAGAAGAGCAGGAACTGTATTAGTAAAAATAGAAGCATCAGTAGTAATAGCAGTAATATGCAGTATTAAAAGCTGTCGTTTTAGACCACTAGCATGTATATGAATAACAATATTTATTTATTAGTTCGATTATAGGTGACCAAATGGTGCATCTGCTGAGGATGTCAGAGAGTCATCTGGCCATTAGAACAGACCTCGATATTCCCCATTACGTTAAGCGCTCGGCACCACCAAGAGGCGCCCCTGACTGCCATTATCGTGAGCAGGTTAACAAAAAACTATAATGAGGTTTCCCTCCAAGAGCTTCCGGCCTCTTCCCAAATTAGAACTGACATGGCCTACGTTTCTAGGCTTCCTTGATCCAATTTACTGCTGGTTTGTGTATTCACTTCCTACTGGAGAGTTTACCACTAGAATTTACTTTACGACTGGCAGTTTTTTTAAGCCTAAATTAAAGGAACAATTTGAAAACAATTTCTTATTGTAGATTAAAATCAATGTGAGTGTGTATGTGTTTACTATTTGTACCTGCCGAATCGAGCTATTAGCTCCGGGACCCCGCCTTTCATACCTGTTTATTTTTACTTTATTATGTCTACTACATGTATTTCTTTCTAACACACGCACACAAACACACACATCCCAAGGAAGATGCCCGTAGTAGCTGTCTAACTACTAGGTACCTATTTACTGCTAGGTGAAGAGGGTTACCAGAGTGAAAGAAAATATGCCCATTTGTTTCCGCCTCTGCCGGGGATAAAGCACTTACCGAAACGTGGATGAATGTAGAAAATAGTGAACTATTAGCTGAATATCAAATAAATGGATTTAAAGTATTTCACACAGATAAATATATTAGACGAGGAGGGGGAGTTACCATATATGTTACGGAAAATCTGAAATGTAGTCTGAAAGTGGGAATCAAAACTGAGCAACTCACAGAAACTATTTGGCTAGAATTAAACGAAAGAGCAAGTAATCTTATAATAGGAGTTATATATAGGACACCAAACTTAGACAGAATGGAAGCAAAGCATCTATGGGAGGAAATATCTAGAGCATCTAGGTCTAGCAGTATTTGTGTGACTTTAATTTAATGGAATAAACTGGTTTAACAGAACAGTGAATAATGAAGGAGAAGATTTTCTAGAATTAATTGACGATTGCCTTCTTATGCAACACATTAAGGAACCAACATGGGAAAATAATATTTTACACTTACTATTAACTAACAGAGAAACAAATTAATGACATTGAAATAAAGAGTGAGCTAGGGAACAGTGATCACAAAGAAGTCAGATTTAGTATAGAATTGAATAGATGTGTAGGGGAAAATTCTATTAAAGTGCCAGATTTTCGAAAACCTGATTTTAATAACCTAAGAAAAAAATTGGGTCAAATAGATTGGAATGTCTTGGGCAAGGGGGGGTGGGCCGGTCTTGGAGCGAGACGTGAACCAAGCAATGGGTGATGTAAAAAGGGATTTCGATGTGGATTCAAAATATAACTTATTTAAAAATATTCTAAGCAAAGCACAGGAAAGTAGTATATCACACAAATTGAATAGATCAAATACTAATGACCCGAAATGGATAGCAAAGGATCTGAAGAGCAGTGTTGGTAGAAAGAGAGCTTGGTACAAAACGGCCTGGCAAATGCCGCTGATGTTATCGCCTGATATGGGTTTCGGAGGACAGGTCTGGCGTGATATCCAGGACTTTCTCTCTCTGATTCTAGAAGAATTTTATCTCCCAAATGGTACCTTGAAGCTAACCTCAAGGCCAGATACAAGGTACACCCAACACCTATCTTCCCTACACCTATCTTCATTACATTGCATTTGTTCTGGTTAAACTCTAACTCCCATTTGTTGGACCATTCCTTCAGTTAGTCCAGGTTGTCCCTCATTTTGTCCTCCTCTGTCTTAATAATTCTCATAATTTTGGCATCATCACCAAACATTGAGAGGAATGAGTCTATACCCTCTGGGAGATCATCTACATATATCAGAAACAAGATAGATCAGAGTACAGAGCCTCGAGGGACTCCGCTTGTGACTTTATGCTAATCTGAGGTCTAACCATTTACAGTAACTCTGTAGCTTTGTGTGTGAGTGTGTGTACTCACCTATTTGTACTCATATGTTTGTGCTAGCAGGATCGAACATTGACTCTTGAATCCTGCCTTTCTAGCCATCGGTTGTTTACAGCAATGACTCCTGTCCCATTTCCATATCATATCTAGTTTTAAAATTATGAATAGAGTACCTTAAGTGCATTCCATTTTTCCACTATTCTCACGCTAAAAGAAAACTTCCTAACATCTCTGTGACTCATCTGAGTTTCCAGCTTCCACCCATGTCCCCTCGTTCTGATACTATTACGTGTGAACAGTTCATCTATTTCCACTTTGTGAATTCCCCTGTGTATTTTGTATGTTCCTATCATATCCCCTCTCTCCCCTCTTTTTTTTTTAGTGTCGTAAGGTTCAGTTCTTTCAGGTGCTCTTCATATCCCATCCCTCGTAATTCTGGGACAAGCCTCGTCGCAAACTTCTGAAGCTTTTCCAGTTTCTTTATGTGTTTCTTCAGTTGGGGACTCCATGATGGCGCGGCATATTTTAAGACTGGTCTCACATAGGCAGTGTAAAGCTCCCTAAAAGCCTCCTTACTTAGGTTTCTGAATGAAGTTCTAACTTTCGCCAGTGTAGAGTACGCTGCTGTCTTTATCTTATTTATATGTGCCTCAGGAGTTAGGTTAGGTGTTTCGCCCACTCTCCGGTCTCTTTCTCGACTCGTTACAGGTAGGCTGTTCCATCATTGTGTACTGTTCCTTTGGTCGCCTATCATCTGATTCCATTTCCATAACTTTTCATTTACTCGTGTTGATGTCCAGCAGTCATTTCTCTGACTATCTGTGCAATCTGTCCAGTTCCTCTTGGAGGATCCTACAATCCTCATCTGTCAAAACTCTTCTCATTAATTTTGCGTCATCCGCGAACATTGACATGTCGGATTCCACTCCTGTAAACATATCATTTACGTAAATTAGAAAGAAGATTGGTCCCAGCACCGATCCTTGAGGTACTCCACTTGTTACTGTTCGCCAGTCCGACTTCTCGCCCCTTACCATTACCCTCTGGCTCCTTCCTGTTAGGTAGGTCCTTACGCATACTAGGGCCTTTCCGCTTACTCCTGCCTGCCTCTCAAGTTTTTATAGCAGTCTCATGTGCAGTACTGAATCAAAGGCCTTTTGGCAGTCTAGAAATTTGCAGTCTGCCCAGCCTTCTCTGTCCTGCCTTATCCTTGTTATTTTATCAAAGAATTCAAAGAGGTTTGTTAGGCATGATTTCCCTGTCCAGAACCCATATTGGCGTTTGTTTACAAACCCAATGCTCTTCAGGTGTGCAACAAGTCTTAGCCTAATTATTCTTTCAAGTGTTTTGCAGCGGATGCTTGTCAGTGATACGGGTCTGTAGTTAAGTGCCTCCTCCCTAACTCCTCTGTTGAAAATCGGTTCAACATTTGCCTTCTTCCAGCAACTGGGCAATTCTCTCGACAGAAGTGACTCATTAATACCTCCATTTCCTCCAGTCTTCTGATTATCCGGTACACTGCAGTATGGTTTAATTTCTGTTCTCTGGTAATTGTGTCTGTATTTTCAAGGTTGTTTGCATTGAAGGGTTTCGTACACGCAAACAAGTGTCACTTTGTAAAAAGGAAGATCATGAGAGACTATAGTTATAATCTTGATTACACACACACACACACCTGTAGGGTAATATGACCAGGAGCATGTATACACACACACACACACCTGTAGGGTATTACATGACCGGAAGGGAATACAAATACTCACAGAGTGTAAAAGACCATCTGCAGGTCCTGGTGTATGATCAATGCTCTCACTCGTCAAAGGTGGTCGGAGAGGCTATATTCATCACTGTCAGACCAGGTGATGATTAAATCTTCTCATTTAGACTCTCATCACGGAGAGAGGG